ATTTCATTGATTTTTTTTGCAGCTAAACAAAAATAAACCGCTAATACAATTAACACATTAATACAGTTTGCTTTTCTGTTTATTTTTTGAAAAATTGTTTGGTTGCAATGATTTATGACAACCGTTTGCTGGAGTATCCGATAATAAATCTGTTTTCATTACACAGAGTAACAGAATATTTTTTCAAAACTTTATGGGGTTTGGAAATAAAAGGGGAATAACAAATAAAATTAAAAAATGGACCCAAACATATTAATGTATCGAATTTCCTCTTTGGTCACTTACATTTTTAACACCCTGTAACTCACAACTGAATGCACCAAGCAAAAGAACAGCAAACTATTTTTTACTGCGAAATATCACCCTTTCAACGAACATAAATCTGAAATTATTTGGTCGATACTTTACGAGAAATCTATCAGTAAAGCCATCTGCCGAAAAAATGGATTTCTTATCGCAGGTCAATGAAATCGATATTTTGCTAAAATTTTGTCTTAGACCCTTACTAATTCTGGTCAAGTGTTTTATAAAACAAAACAAAAAAATTTATTTTTATTTAAATACAATTCAATGAAAGTATTTAATTTTGGAAACAAAATAAAATTGAATTTAATAAATTTTTATTTTTAGAATTATTTTAATAAAGGATTTTTGTATTTATTTATTTGATTAGTCTCTAAAAAATTCTAAGCAAATTTTCAATATTCTAAAAAAAATTTCTAAATATTTATTTTATATTTGATTTTTTTCGAAAAATACAATTGTTTTTATTATTAAATTAAAAATATAATAGAAATTTTGGAAATACGTCTTTATATCAAGTATTTATTTTGTTTACAATATGTTTTAAATCTCTTTAATTGTTTTTTAATCAATATTAAAATAATATACTATATTTTTTTAATTTGCATAAAAATTTTTCATTTGCAAATAAAATTTTAAGAATACATATATAAAGTATTCTTGAAATCGTCCAACGACCCTTTTTTGCTAAATAAAATTGTAGTGGAAATAGAATTCAGAACGGATTTAAATATCAATTCAACATAATTTTTGAATTCATTATTTTTTATTAAAATTCTATTTTTAATTAATTCTGAGTATTACCTTGGTATTGATTTAAAATAAAATGTTAACATTTATTTATATATTAATAAATAAATATTATTATTAATTCTAGATAATATATAAAAATTCTAATAATAGCTAATGAATAGTTGTTAAATTATTAAAAAAAAAATTTGTAAGCTCAGCTATAAGGAGGATATTTCTTAAATTAGATGTGGATATAAAAAATTAGGCCCTAAATAAGTTGTGAATTTTTTAAAAATATTCTTTATGTTTCTGATTAGACATGCATTTTTTAAAAAATATTTGTTATGTATGTAAACGTGTATTTTCAAGTTCCATAATAAGGCGTAGATTTTTTAAAAATATTTTTATGGTCCTAAATAAGACGTGGAATTTTTAAAAATATAGATATGGCCTTAAATAAGGCATGGATTTTTTTGAAAATATTTTTATGCTTCTACATTTTTTTAATGCCCTGAATAAGGGGTTGATTTTTATTTAAAAATATTTTTAAGGCGCTAAATAAAGCATGTTTTTTTTAAAGATTGAAATGCTTAAAACATTGTAAAAACATTTGTTAAGAACAATTTATAGATTCCCAATACAAGGGCTTTTTTTAATTTTTTTAAACAATATTTATGAAGGACTGAATTTATACGGAGTGGATTTTATAAAGCAGTTTTATCGATGGTCTATCCATTAGATGGGATTGTTAAGGAGATTTTCTTAGTTTTATTAGAACTGTAAGTTTTCTGAAAGCTATCAGAGTTATATGTGTCTTTTTTTAAGAAAATGTCCTGTTCTGAAGGCGTATCAGAACTATGAACGTGGTCTTTTAAAGGGACTATCAGAGATAGATAGGATGTTTTCTGAAGAACTTTCAAAGCTATTTTAGTGTTTTTTAACGGAATATTTTCTGATGGATTATCAGAGTTATAGATAAGGATTTTTTATATATTGATTTAAAAAAAACGCTCGCCAAAACCGCTCAACGTTTTCTGTTTCTCCTTTAAATATAAAACGATGCAATTTCAATTTTCAGGAAATTATTTAGAGTTTTTTTGAATCTGAATATAAACATAAAACATAGAGTATTTATGTTATGTATTCAATTTTTTGTATTCAATATTAGAATTATATAAGAATAATCTCGAATTCTGAAATCGTTCACAGAGCTTTTGACATATTTTAAATTTTTATTTATTTTTAGAAATATTTTGTTTCTGATTCTTTACTGAAGATTATATTGTTTAAATTTTTTGAAAATGGTCCTGAATCCAAATTTAATTTATTTACAAATGTATTTATTTTTCTTTTTTAATAAGCGACTTTTTATTTATTTATTTTTTAAGTTAAAATTGAAATTCCTCAAAGTATTTTTCGAAGGTTATTCTGAAATTTGGTGTGAAAAGTTTTTTTGTTTTTAATTTCTTTGGTTCCCAAAATATATATTTCATGCTGAAGTTTACATTTCCTTAGAATCTATTAGTTGACCTGTTTCCGAAAAAAAATTCCGGATATTCGTGGGAATTCAAATCCCATATAATGTATTTATACCCTTCACCACACTGTGGTACAGGGTATTATGTCTTTGTGCATATGTTTGTAAAAGAATCGAGGTAGACCCATGGTTCCTTTTGAGAATATGCATAGAATCACTTTCTGAGTCTGAGCAGGTCCGTCCGTCTGTTGATTTTAAATTGTAAACAATGTACTGGTCGCATTTATAATCCGATTTGGATGAAATTTGGTACATTTATTTGGCCCAAGGACGAACCCTATTGAAATTTGTGAAAATCAGTTCAGATTTAGATGTAGCTCCCATATATAGTTTTGTCCGATTTTCAGTAATTGGTGTACCAAACTCCCAATATTTGTCCGATTGAGACAAAATTTTGCACAAAGTACTGAATAAAGTCTAGATTGATACATGCCAAGTTTTGCTGAAATCGGTTTATATTTAGATATAGCTCCCATATATAGTTTCGTCCGATTTTATGTAAATAGAGCACCAAAGAGTAACATTTAGGCTAATTGGCACACTATTTTGCACAGCATACCGAATTAGGTCCATATGTATGTATCGATGTTTGTCCGATTGGGACATAATTTTGCACAGAGTACTGAATTACATCTAGATTTGTGAATGTCAAGTTTTGTATTGGATTTTGTGTCGAGATTAATTTTGGATAGCGCACTTTGTTGCACTGCATAGCAAATGGTGGATGCCACGGTTGCTCAAATACGTCCATTTATATATAGATCTTTTACATGTTTTGCTCGATGATTGGCATTCAATTTTTCATAATTTTCAGTTTGGTACCCAAACTGTTGAAGGGTATCATATAGTAGGCCCTGTTCAACTTTTGAACTTTCCTTACTGGTTTATTAAGTAATTAAGCGTGGATTTTTTTAAAATGTTAATTATGGTCCTAAATAATGCGTGGATTTTTTTAAAATATTTTTTAGGTCCTGAATAAGGCGTGGATATTTAAGAAGATTTTCGAAGAGCCATTAGAGCTCCAAGAGATTTTCCGAAGGATATCAGAGCAATAAGTTCCATTTTTAAGAATATCTCCTAAAACACTAGTAGAGCAATAAACCAAGATGTTTAGGGGGAATGTTCTGAAGGATTATCAAAGCTGTGAACGTGGACTTTCAAAGGGAGTTTTTTCTAAAGAACTATCAGATATATATGTATGGCTTATTATCAGAGCTATATATATATATATATGGATTTTATAAGATGGATACGTGAGACTATTTTTTTCTTTTAATAATATCTGATCTCCAAGCCATACAACAACTCCCGAAGCATTGTTCTGATTTCAAAGGAAATCAAGGAACTTCGAATGGATTCCAACAAGTTCACATATATTTTATTTTGATTATATACACAAAAAACAATCGAATTTTAAAATCGTTCAACGTTTTCGTTTTTTTTTCTGATTCAAAATAAAACGATGGGATTTCTTTGGTAATTATAATTTTCAGAAACATTTCTAGTTGGTTTCGAATAGTTTGGGAATTTTGAATACTTGAAATCTTCTAAAAAATATAGAATTTTTTAGGAAAATGTTGTGAAATTTGAAGTGATTTTTTTTTTTTATTTTGGTCAGGGCCTAGCGAAGTTTAGATTGTTTTTCTTTTCCTTAAAATCCATATCAAATGTAATTCGAGAATAGCATTTATAATTCACAACATATAATTTTCAACTCTATTAACTGCTTCAAATGTCAAAGAAAGATTTTTATGGAGAAGCAAACATAAATGAAAAAAAATTTAAAAAAAAATTATTTCTTCTTATATTTCTTAAAAAATAAAAAAAAATTATACACATCTAATTTTTATAGAATATTTATTCAAGCACTTAGAAAGGCGTAAATTTTGTAACACATATTTAAAAAAAAAAATGTAGGGTAGTTAAAAAAATAATAATTTTTAACGAGGAGTTTTTCAATAATTTTTAATTTTTTAAGAACGTAGATTTCTATATTTTTTTAATATTTAATTAAAAAAAATAAAAATTAATTTTCGCAGCAAAAAAAAAATATTACCAAAGATATAATCTTAATTTTTTTTCAAAAATTTCCGTTTTCTAAATAAATCGAATCTTTATTAAATTGGTGATTTTTTTTGAGGTGGAATCCTAACCTCTTATAACCCACTTTTGATCACATTTTGCTTTAATTTTGTTACACTGTGTTCTAAAATTGATTAATTGCCTCCCAATGTGACAGATGCTCACACTGTTTTTTTAACTCATTTCCCGGCTTTCAGTTTTATTTCATTCAATTCTCAATAAAGTTGTTTTTATTCTCACTTTTGATTTTTTCAAATCGAAAGCTAATTTGTCATCCATTTTTTTATTTTTGCATTTTCTTCTTACTTAACATTCTTCTTCTTATTATTATTACTGTTACACTTACATTTGGAGAAGCTGACGCCCCATGCTGGCTGTTGTGTCATTTTGCTGGAGTTGTGGTTACTGCTACTGCAGTTTTAACGGCCGACTGCTGAATTAATTTCCAATTAATTACAAAAATATTTGCACCTCTAAAAATTCAGGAGGAGGTTCTCGGCGAGACAGGAAAATCAATTTCCTGATTTAAGAATTTTTTCGTTGTCGTTGTTGTTGTTTTAGCCGATTTTAAACACTTCCGCCTTTACAACGTAATTTTAGGCTCACTCTCACTGTTTCAACACCACAGAAATAAACTTTTCTATCGCATGCGATATTTTTTTGGTTTCATTAAAAAGTCCTTGTGTGAGAAGAAAATAATTTCCCGTTATTTTTTTTTTTTTTTTTAATTGTCGTTTCTTATTTTCTTTTTATCGAACACATTTCACACACTGACACTATATATTTTTTCTAGGCTCTCCCGATTTTTTGTAACACAATTTTCTTTTTGAAAATCAATTTTTTTCTTGATTGCCACTTCGATCTTGGGTGTTTGGTGTTTTTTTTTTTTTTCGAAAATAAACACGTTCGCGCCTTACGAACGTTAAATTTCAAATGAGAAACAATTTTTAAGCGACTTTAGTTTATATATGGAGGGAGATAAGGCCAGTATTTTTGTTGTTGTTGGTGTTGTTGGTGTTGCTACTCGTTTTTGTTGGTCTGTCGATTGGTTTGCTGGCTGGCTCGTTGGCTGTCTGAGTTGGTTGGCTGGGTTGCTTGGTTAGACGTCTGTTAGCTGGGGTTTATGACAGTTTATATTGAGCAGAGTTTTGTTGTTGTTGCTGTTGTTTTTGTTACTCTGGTGTATGGTTTTTGTTGTTGTTGTCTTCTTTTTTGAGTAGTTATGGCTATGTTCAGCCAAAAGTGGTAAGTTTAAAACACAAAAAACTAAGTATAACCATGTATGTAGTGGTTAAATGTTATCCAGCTTACACACACATACACATGCATACACCAACACCAATTTCATTCATATCCAGGCTATTATAAAATTGATTTTTTTTTTTCAAAAAAAAAATCTACTGTTAAAGGCGGCTAACATCACTCACTCACCCTCACCTGATTTTTTCTCTCGCTCCCTCTCTCACACACACACAGACACATAATTTTCCTCCTAACAAGAGTTGACTTTTCTCACACCAAAAGGTAATCGCTTGGCCATTAGTTTTATTGTTTTAGCCGATATTTTTTTCGAACAAAAAAATAAAAATTCCTTTTTTATTGTTGTTTTTGTGGCAGGCGGTCTCTACCAGCTCCTAATGGTCTGGGGACGTGTGTTATCTCCATAAATTACTTTAAAAAATAATAGTTTAGATTTTTTCTAATTTCTTTTTTAGAATATACTGATATTACTAATTGCTGGAAAATTAACTACCAACATTTTTTTTAAGGAAATCAGAGAGCCTAACAAGGTTTAAATATTTTAGAAAATATTTAACCAAAGACCAATACAAGTGCGGATTTTTATACCCTACACAACTATTTTGTCAGGATATTATAGCTTTTTGTAAGGCCGCGAGTTTGTAACGCGGCGAAATATTGGTCCTAGACCCACCTTTAAGTATACCGATCGTCATATCTCGACTAGCTGAATCGATCTAGACATCTGTGTCCGTCCGCCCGTCTGTCTGTCCATTATAATTTGTAAACACGATACAGGCCACAGTAATGGACCAATCTTCACGAAATTTTGCATGTAGGATGGGTAAAGATCGGTTAATATTTAGGGGATGAAATGGACCAAATACTTAATTTTTGTCGGTTTTTCTGGTCGCTCCAGAGGCCGTAATTATTGCCCAAATATATCGATTTTTTACACGGAGAAAGGGATTGGGCCAAAGAATAAGCATGCCTGACTTTTGTGTGAAAAATTACAAAATTCGTATTATATAGCATATATATTTACTCCTGAAACGCATAGACCCTAGAAGTTGATAGTATATTCAAGAGGGGTGGTTGGCCTTTAAATTGATACCAATTGCATTGTCGTATGTACTCGGATGTGGGAGTTACACGTAAATATTTACAGGTGCTTACGTATTCAGATATTGTTTAGTAACCCTTTACCACACTAGTGGGCGGATATATAGCGCTGATCGCTTTAAAATGTTCCATGAGGTTCCAGTTATGATCAAGGACAACGCCTAAAATGTTAGGTGATGATCAGATGATAATTTTGGGATGAAGTGGGCCGAAAACTTTTTTTTTGTTGTTTTTTTTTCGATTCGATGTGTAGGCAACAATTATAAGCCGAATATCACAAAACAACCCACGGTGAAGGGAGCATGGACAAGTAATTAGAAGGGCTGTATTGAATATTGGAAATATTCGGAAGATATGTCTACATAAGGAAGAGGTGATGTTAACCTTTAATCGGGCAAGAGAGTGCAACTATCACGAAATATTACCCAGGCTCGGAATAAAAATCCGCAGAAAGATAGAGTTCTGTGGTAGTTGTGTAGGGTATCGTATGGTCGGCCCCGTCCGACTATACTGCTTTGCTCACTGGTTAAATAATATTTTTCTAAGAATATTTTTTTAGGGTCTATAAGAGGCGTGGAATTTTTAAAGAATATTTTTTCAGTGATCCACACAAGGCGTGGATTTTTTAAAGAATATTTTTTCAAACATCCACACAAGGCGTGGATTTTTTAAAGAATATTTTTTCAAACATCCACACAAGGCGTGGATTTTTTAAAGAATATTTTTTCAAACATCCACACAAGGCGTGGATTTTTTAAAGAATATTTTTTCAAACATCCACACAAGGCGTGGATTTTTTAAAGAATATTTTTTCAAACATCCACACAAGGCGTGGATTTTTTAAAGAATATTTTTTCAAACATCCACACAAGGCGTGGATTTTTTAAAGAATATTTTTTCATGGATCCCCACAAGGCGTGGATTTTTTTAAAGAATATTTTTTCAGGGACCCACACAAGTCGTGGATTTTTTTAAAGAATATTTTTTCAGGGATCCACACAAGTCCTGGATTTTTTAAAGAATATTTTTTCAGGGATCCACACAAGTCCTGGATTTTTTAAAGACGATTTTTTCAAAGACTATAAGAACTACCGCTGATTTTTTTAAGTATTTGTACCAATCACCTATTTCTTATATTTCTTGGTCAACATTTTTAAAACCAATACCGCACGTGATCAAATGTTTTTTTCTTTGCAAATTATAAGAGAATATTTATATATTTAATCGTAGTCAATTAAAAAATTATTGCTTGGAAACAGATTATCTCAAGTACCCTATCATAAATTTAATCCATATTTGTTTTAATTCTAGGCATTCTAGACAGAAATAAAATATAATCTTGGAAAGACAAGAAACTATTTATTACTACTAATTTATTAAGGTATAATGTTTTTTTTTTTTACATGAAAATTGTTCAGCTTTTATACCTTTACATTTATGGCTAATTGGCCCCTTTGAATTCTTAATATATTTCCGAAAATATTTCCCATAAATTTGTGATCCCCAACCATGAGCTCCATTTTTTTTGCATGGTATTATCGTTAAAAAGGCCCGTATCGATTAGCAATCGAACGTATGTGGCTTCAAAATCGAGCCAAATCAAACGAAAGTTGTCGTGGAAAAAGCACTTCGAAGCAAATTATCGCCTGTTTCTTAGCCAAGATCTGTTGACGGACAATTCTGCGTGGTACACCATATCAAAACAGCTCAAACCAACAAAATGTTAATTGGATGTCCTGCAGCCCTGAGTTGGTACACAATAACTGATCTTTATTCTCGCATATTAAGAAAAAAATTTATAGTCAAAACATTTTCGCCGTCAGAGAGTTTCCAGCATTCATTTGAACGCAAGAAAATAAATGGTACTAAAATTCGTATATTGTTAAGGGGGTACACCTTGTTTTGACATAATCCCCTTAGTAAAGCTATGTTTCATTTTAGATGTTTGAAAGGGTTTTAGCACATTATTCAACCCAAAGTGGCAATAATTTTAACAATTTGGGTCTTCAGAAGATCAAAACCTTTCGTTGAACATGTTTCTACAAAGGCCCTTTATAAGGGGCCAACAAAAATTGAAAATTTTTGAGGTTTGGAAAAAAAAACAAAGTATAATGTCAGTCGGTTTTGCTGACAAATATATAGCCTCAGCCTATGGGGAGGTCTTCCGACTTACACTCAGGTTTTATTATTCGCTTCATATTAGGTATATGTTTTTTTATCGAAGAGGTTTCGGATTTAATGTTGATTAAATCGGTTATTCAACTCGCTTTAAATTAAATTAAAAATGTATAAAATATTGGCCCTTTTGAGGGGGAGGTACTTGATCAAGCCAAGGTAAACGTATTATGATGTACAAAGCTTGGATCAAATCGGGCAATCCATTCGCTTGATTTCGTTTGATATTGAATTAACATATATTCAAGACATTGATACTTTATGGCGGAGATACTAAAAAAAATGGACTAATGGGTCCCATTTTCGAACTTGATCTAGAATTGCTAAAAATTAATAACGATGTGTAAATTTTGGTTAAAATTGGACATTCCATTCGCGTGATATTGGATCTATAAATATTGATAATTTTAACCATTGTGAGGAGGTACCAGAAGAAGTGGCCCAATGGGTACCATCTTTGGACTTGATTTAGGCTTTGTAAAGATATTATGTTATACAAAAGTTGATTCAAATTGGACATTCCATTCCTCTATTATTGGATTTATGAATGGGGAAAATTTTGACCTTGTTGGGAGATGTATCAGAAAGAGTGGATCAATGGGTCACATCTAAGGATTTTGTCTAGGTTGTACAAAATTTTGTTCTAATCGGATATAAAATTATTTTTTTGCACAATTTTGAACATTTTGTGGGGGAGGTACCAGAAGGAATAGATCGATCTTTCCCATCGTCGAATTTAAACTATGTTTAGATGTGTATATGGATGTGTATAATTTGGATGAAATCAGCTACTCTATTTTTGTACTAACAATGTAAAAACATCCGAAACTCATTCCCCAGATGTGACACATATGCCA